TACATAGGGTTGTTACGAGTCGCAAACGACTCGCCGGCACATGAAAACAACAAAATAACTATGTGCCAAGTGGAGTCTTGTAAAACTGGTGTGGTGAGGCCCATTTCTTCAAACTCACACAGTTATATAGGTCCTTGCAAGGCATCAGCAGGTTCAACAGTTGGGACAGTAGCTTCTCAAGAAATCTGAAAATGTTAGTGGGCACTATATGACCCAGGAGTCATAAAGTGGTTAACATACAAAAATAATTTAGGCTGGCACATAAGAAACACAATATATAAGAATTCACTGGTGTTATCCAAATAAAAAAACCTTCAACAACCAAATCTCAAAATTCAACATGGGCTTCTTCAATTTTTCTTCTTGAGGTGCTTATGAATCCTAAAGAAATACTGCTTTACCTTTCAAAACCAATTATGATCCATTTCTCCCAGGTCTGAGATCCATCAGTCCTTTCTCTCATCTCTTCATTACCTTTCTTTTCACTGAATCCATTTCCTCACAGAAGAAACAAACTTCCCATATGCACACACACATAAATTCTTCTCAAAGGAAGGTACTGAGTCTTGATCACCAAAATCTCAGTTATGGTAAGCAGGCACTAAGAACAACCATATCCCTACACCTAGTAAGGCTTGAGAAAAAGAGAAATTCAACACAGAGCACCACCCTGAGAAGTCAGTTTACTCAAGTAACAGAAAATGACTCCACTTATCCTTTGTCCTCTCTCAAAAGCTTTAGGAAACTCTCTGGACTTTCTTCTAGTAGATGTAGGTAGTCTTTCCTGTAAGGAATTCCCACCTTTACTACTTCCTTTATATCACTTATAAACAAGGTTTAACTCATTTTTTAAAAAGGTTCACTTAAGTCCAGGTCCATATCTTACTTATTTTTTTATTCTCCAAAGTACATAGAATAGACCTTCACTTAGCCAGGGCTAATACTTAATGCTTAATGAATTAACAAGCAGACATATATTGTTGTTGTTGTTGTTAAGTGCAGTCAAGTCATAGATAACTCATAGCGACCCTATGAATAAAAGACCTGAACACTTGTATAACTTTCATTGTTTCTCAACATTAACACAGTTTCTGGGGGCAAGCCATTACATAAGTGGATGCCACTCCTGCTTCCAAGTTTGTTTTAATCAGGCGCTCCACCAAACACTGTCAATATGGGTAACAATCATCACATTTGACACATTAGTGTCACAACGTTCAGCATCACAGCAACCACAAGTTACCACTATACAGCAAATGGCTAGCCAGTGAGTGCTATACCACTTAGAAGAATGCTTGACCAAAAACAATTAAAACCAGGCCTGAGGGCTGCAGATTAAAATCACCCACTGATTATGCAAAGGCATTTGACTATGTGGATCATAACAAACTGTGGCTAACTCTGAGAAGAAAGGGAATCCCAGAACACTTGATCATGCTAATGGGAAACCTATACTTGGACCAAGAGGCAGTCGTCAGAACAGAGCAGGGTAACAATGCATGGTTCAAAATTGGGAAGGGCATACGCCAGGGATGTGTCCTGTCTCCATACCTTTTCAACCTGTATGCAGAGCAGATTATCCGAGAGGCTGGGCTCTATGAGGAGAAGTGTGGCATCAGGATTGGTGGAAGATCTATCAACAATCTGCATTATGCAGATGACAAAACCCTGCTTGCGGAAAGTGAGGAGGACCTGAAGCGCTTGCTGCAGAGGGTCAAGGACTGCAGCCTTCAATATGGACTGAGGCGCAATATCAAGACAAAAATTGTCACCACTGGGCCAACTGGCAGCATCAGGATGGATGGTGAAGAGATTGAGATTGTTCACAACTTTAGTCTGTTTGGCTCCACAGTCAACACTCTTGGCACCAGTAGCCAGGAAATTAAAAGATGTACTGCGATGGAAAACTCTGCTGTTAGGGACCTCTCCAAAGTACTGAAGAACAATGGTGTCTCTCTGGAGACTAAGGTGAGTCTGATGCAGGCCATGGTCTTTGCAATCACTTGTTATGCATCAGAGAGTTGGACAATGACTAGGGAGGATAGAAGGAGAATTGATGCCTTTGAGCTGTGGTGCTGGAGAAGAGTATTCAGTATACCATGGACTGCTATGAAAACAAACAGATTCATCCTGGAGAGGGTTAAACCAGGCTGCTCCTTGGAGGCAAGGATTCTGAGGCTTCGTCTGACATACTTTGGACATGTTGCAAGGAGGGACCGGTCCTTGGAGAGGCATATCTTGCTTGGCAGGGTGGAGGGACAGCACAGAAGAGGAAGACCATCTATGAGGTGGCTTCAGTGACTGGGGTAATCGGGATGGGTATATCAGAGACAGTGTGATTGGCAGAGGACAGACCAGAGTTTAGGGCTGTTGTACATAGGGTCACTATGAGTTGCAAGCAACTCGAAGGCACATAACCACCACCACCACCACCACCACCACCTTTGGCTTGGTAGCATAACTTTCTATCCACTGGCCAAAACAGCTCTTTCTAAAGCAGACATATAGATTATGTGTAATTCTTTTTTGAACCTTTGTGTGGATATTTTGGATATACACAAATCACCACTGTTCTATGATTAATACAAATTACTACACTTAACAGAGCGCTCTAGTGGTCTAGTGGCAAGGAACTGAATGAGCTGTCATCTAGACCCATGGTTCAAATCTACTAGCTGCTCCATGGGAGAAAAATGGGTAATCTCTTCCCATGTAATTGACTGCCTCTGAAAACCTGTTGGAGGGCCAGCTATGAGTTGGTTCCAATTCAAGAGTACACAAAAAAAACACTTCATAAGGCTTCCATCAGAGTTCCTATCATGTAATCACAATGACTTCCTCCTATACTCAGGGTCCAAGACATCATCCTACGCACAGCAGGAAACAGGGGTGCCTGAGGTCTGAGTGCCTCACAATTACAAGCAACACTCACTAAAAAGGATCAGCTCCTTAAGAGTCTTCAGTTTTTAAGGTCTCAGTGACTTTAGTGTGGAGCCCTTCTCTACAAGAAACATTGTCAGAATAAATGCTAGGTATTCTACTCAACTGTACACTGTCATAGTCCTTAATCATCTTCTACTAATTTCAAGATAATCTTTCAAAACGAGAGATGGAGAGACCCTGCCCTATCCCACAGCCTGAGAAACCCTGTGGGACTGTTCTAATCCACCCTATATATTGTCAGGAGTTGGAATTTACCTGAAAACACACAAAATTAAAAGGACTTAATCCCCAAAATCAAAGTGAAGGATCCTTCCTGATCCTGTTTCATTAAGCAACTGGATGAGGCAAAAAAGGATTCTGGCCTTGTGAGAGGCTAAGTTCCACTATTTTAAAGCACTAAATTGATAATAATTTGTTCTGGCAGTCCTAGGAAACGAACACACTAAAATCAAGAGGCATCACTCATTTCTTTTTCTCTTCAATTATTAGTCTTCCAGACTTTCTGAAACTATCTATAATCAGTAAAGTGATTCAAGCACAAGAATTAGGAAAATGAGCAATGAGGGGGAAACGGGGAAGAGAGACTGCTTATTTGAGCAGTCTATCAAGAGTCAAAACAGCCATTCAACAAATATTTACTGAGTTCCAACTAAGTTCCAGGCACAGCACTTGGTAAGAAAGAATTTAAAAGCAAATTCCTGAGAGGACATACCTTTAAGAATATAAGTTATCTTTTCTCTGAAACTGTAAGGTATCAAAGCAGGTATAGCAAACAATGTTTAGAAGTCTTGCTAACCAAAACCCCCACCAAATCTACTATCTTCAAATTGATTCCAATTTACAGTGACACCACAGGACAGAGCAGCACATGCCTCAGAACTTCCATGGCTGTAAATCTTTATGGGAGCAAATGCCTCATCTTTCTTCTGTAGCAAGGATGAGGGGGCTTGAACTCTCAGCTGCTCAACTCTTAACCTATTGAGCCACCACGGCTCCTAGAGTAGCTAAAGGATCAACAAAAGATTGAGAGAAATTAGAAGATACAAAGAGTATTCTTTCCCTTCATGAAAACAATCTGCTATAATGAAGTACTTAATCAACAACCTACATTAAGCAGATGACACAACCTTGCTCCCAGTAACGGAGCAGGATCTGAAGTGTTTGCTACAGAGGTCAAGGACTACAGTCCTCAGTATGGACTGAAGCTCAATATCTAGAAAACAAAGATTCTCACCTCTGGGCCAACTGGCAGCAGCCTGGTAGATGGAGAAGAGACTGAGGTTGTTAACAATTTCAGCTTGCTTAGCTCCACATCAACCCTCTTGGCACCAGCAGTCAAGAAATCAAAAGATGAATTGCACTGGTTAAGTCTACTGTCAAGGACCTTGACCAAGTACTGAAGAGCAACAATGTCAGTCTGGAGACCAATCTGTATGATCCAGGCCATGGTCTTCATAATCACTTGCTATGCATCAGAGAGCTGGACAATGACCAAAAATGACAGAAGAAGAATTGATGCCTTTGAGTTGTGGTGCTGGAGAATATTGAATATACCATGGACTGCCAAGATAATAAGCAGGTTCATCCTTGAGAGGGTGAAATCAGGCTGCTCCTTGGAGGAAAGGCTTTTGAAGATCCTCTCACATACTTTGGGCATGTGGCCTGGAGGGATCAGTCCTTGGAGAAAGACATCATGCTTGGAAGGGTGGAGGGACAACACAGCAAAAGATGACCCTGGATGAGATGGACTGGGGTTATGGGAGTAGGTGTATTGGAGTCAGACTGGCTCAGCACAGGGCAGGCTTCAGAATTATTGTACACAGGGTCGCTAAGAGGCACAGGTGACATGATGGCACATAACAACAACTGCAAAATAGTACAATCTTTACAAAATAAAAGAAAAAGGAAAGCATCTAAGATACAGGTTAGGCCAAAATCATGAAAACGAGTAGGAAGAAAACAGCTCCAAGTCTACAATTTCTTATGCCAGCATTTCTTGCACATTTTATTAAGCATACTCCAATGAAAATTCAAAGCCCACTATTTTCTCCACTTACCAAACTGCTGCTTATGTTTAAGATTTAGCCCAACTGTCTTATCTTCTAAGAAGTTTTCCATAACACAATTCCCTTTATAAAGTGAGAGAGATATATTCTTGACCTTGAAAATTGGGAGTTTGGCGACAGCATATATAAGGGTGTGAAAGAAATTTGATACATGGCATGACAGGAATGGACATTAAAATCTATATGCTAAGTGAAATAAGCCAGAGACAAAAGAACAAGTATTGTATGATTCCATTTACATGAAATAGTTAAAGGCAAATTCATCAACACAGAGTAGATTACTAGGGACCGAGGGGAAGGGAGTAGTTATTGCTTAATGGAGATAAGAATTTCTGTTTGAGATAATGAAGTTTTAGAAATAGTTTAGGGTAATAGCTTTACAACTATCATGAACATAAATAATGTCACCTTGTACATTATGTGGCAGACAAAAGCATTCAATAAATGTTTACTGAATTAGTACATTTGGAGTTTTTAGGTAGTGCAAACAGCTAAGAGCTTGCCTACTAGCCAAATGCTTGGTAGTTCAAATTCATCTAGAGGTTCCTCAGAAGATAGGCTGGTAATCTGCTTCCAATGAGTTAGTCTATAAAAGCTATAGAATAGTTCTATATGGAACACATGATATTAACATAAGTCAGAATCAACTAGCAACAACAGAAATAAAACAAAAATGTTCACCTAATTCAGCTGGTTTATTTCAATGATAGACTTTCCCCCTCCTTCCCTAAAATATAATTAAAGGCAATTTAATCACATGGGAGGAGATTATTCATCTTTCTCCAAAAGAGCAACTGGTGGATTCGAACCACATGACTTTGGGATTGCAGCACAGCTTCTTACCAATGTGCCACTAGAGCTGAGTGCCAGAAGTGCTGGTAGTTAATGTATTATGTTCCAGGCCACTAATCATATCTATCAGATTCTGAGGGAGAGACAGGCAGTCTCCTTCCTTAAAGATTTATAGTCCAGGGAATTCTGTGGTATTAGCTTAAAAGCTGGCTATTTTATGCCATTACATTAGCCCCCTCTGGTCTTCAGCTACCATATCTGTAGACACATGGCCTTGCAAATCACCAACAACTGTGGGATTAGGATAAGAGACAGTGCTTCCCATATTTAAGTGGCAGAACCTGAGGGAGACTGGAGCAAGACTCTGGTGAGAGCAAGACTGTGATGATGGTGGCAGAGAGACTGTGTCATTGCTGTGGAGAAACTGTGGCAAGGTATAACCAGAGGATCCCTGAGATAAAGGCCACAGTTAAAAGTTTTTGCTGTTCTTACCTTTGATGGTGGGAAAAAAAGCTGCTTGCTAAACTGAAACCGGAGATTGGACTAACTGAGGAATTGTGCCCTGGGACTGCTCGGCTAAGCACCTAGATTTGCACTGCACTGGGTGACATTCTTTGCCTTCCCTAATCTCCAACATACTTCCTTAATAAACCCCACTCTTGGTACCACAAGTCTCCAAACTATTTCTCTAATTAACCCCCTGCTTGGTACCACAATTGAGTAAAGTCTGTGACTCAGCAACAAATAAACGAACCTCTTGCTGCTAGTGGACTCTAGAGGTACCATGGGGCTGCGCTACAGGTTCTATCTTCTTTCTGCTCTGGGGAAGTGAGGGGCTGTGCTATTCTCATTCCCTCTGGCCATTTAAGAAAGACGCTCAAGGCTCTGTGCCCTCATGTCCCATTTATGGTTCCCTAGGCAGCTCAAAGGAAGTTCATCTATGAGTCAGAACAAATGCCACAGCAGTGGAAGCTAAGTTATACAGGAAAAATCCAATTTGTCATTTTAAAATGCAGCATGTTCAAAATGCAAAGCTAGATAAACAATTTCTGGAACCTAGGATCGAATGTAAATTAAATACCATTAACTATCTCATCCAAATATTTTGCTAGCCAATCAACCCACTGCCACCAAGCTGATTCTAATTCAGAGTGACCAGCCACTGCATTTCAGTGTAAATGGTTCAAGGAAGAGAGATCATTTTTCTCACAAATAACTGCTGGAAAGGTAGAGGGTCAGAGGAAACCCTTCAGCCACATGGACTGACACGGGAATGTAACATGGGCTGAACGAAGTACACCAGAGACTGTGAGGATAGTGCAGGATAGGATATGGCTCAGATCTGCTGTTCACTGGGTCACTGTGAGCTGTAGTTGGCAAGATGTCACACCACATAACTGCAACAGGCAGTAGGGAACTGTGGCTAACCCAAAGGTGACGCACAGCACATCTATGGCATGGTTTAATTCACCAGCGGTTCTGCAGGAGAAAGGTGGGCAATCTCCTCCCATGTAATTTACAGCCTAGGAGAAATCCCTTCTGACTTGACAGCAAGGACAAAAGCATGCTAAGACAGACCACCTGTGAAAAATAAATATACATTCATTTTCTTTTTAATTAATATTCACAAAGACAAGAATTAAGAAAAAGAAATCCAAATCATTCGTTGTTGATTTAATGAAAATGAATAAAACCAGCTTAAGTATCATGACATCCACAAGGAGATAATATACAAACTTCTTTGTAAAAAAGACCTCCACTTGATAAAATTAGGAAAGTTAAAGATCCTAGTTTGCTAGGAGCTGTATCAAATGGATAATAAAGAATATAGTTTCTCTAAGATGATTATGACAGTGTAGTTCTCAGAGGAGCAGTCGCAACATTACTTGGGAGCTTGTCAGACAAACATTCTAGGCCTCACGACAGACAGATTATTGGATTCAAGACTTTGGGGTGAGGCCCTGCAATCTCTGGTTTAGCAAGCTTTTCAGGTTGATTCTGATATGTACTAATGTCTGAAAGCTCTTACCCTCAGTATGAACAAGTAAAATGCTAGTTGCAGTGTCCATCCTTTCTCCTTGTGTTAATTTCTCAGCTGTAAATAAATAATCTGCAGACACTGCATGTTTGGGGTAACAGATCTGAAATCACTAGATATATGCTTCACCACACAGCAGTAACATAAACACAGAATTATCCTGGTTTCATTTAGTAACTGATAACAAACCATTTAGAACAGCATATAGCCCACCTGCACTGTACTTGCTACCTGTTAACTACCCTAAGGACAACAATACAGATACTTTTCATTTTAACTAGGAAGTCAGACAAGTTTCTATTAATGTATTCTATAATTAAAAATATCTGGATGTTTAAAAAGTGACCATACATATACTTCACCTATTATTGTTATGTCAAGTCAGAACCAACTCATGGCTGACATTTCAGGTGGGTGTTCAGAAACATTAAATTACACAGGAGGAGACTGCCCATCTTTCTCTCATGGAACAGCTGGTGGATTCAAACCACATGTCTCTGGACTGGCAGTGCAATTCCTTACCACTAAGCCACCAGAGCTCCCTATACTTTCTCTAAATACTCAAATTTATTTAAGCATGGCAATAAACCCATGAGACTGGTAAAGGAGAAATTATAACCCTATTTTAGAGATGAAGAAACTAAGGCTTAAAAGATATGCCTTAGAGAGAATAGTTTAAAAGTATTATATTTTAGGACATTATGTTTATTATAAGAGTACAGAATGAGGGTTGCAGAGTGGATTATATTTGGGGTGGGGGTGGGGATTGTGTACCAATGAAGGAGTTTTTCTTTTGCTTTTCAAGGAGAGGAGCAAACGGGGGGGGGGGGTGGAGGTGGGGTGGGCGGGGAGAAGGGTGCAACAATGAATGAATGGAATTCCAAAATCTCTGTAGATGTTCATTGAAATTAAAAATAAACAACCTAAATTTAAAAAAAAGATATGCCTCAAGTGAATATAGGAAGTACTAAAGGTTAAACTAAAAATCCATTTTTTATTTGTACTCTTCCCCCAAATCATGTATTAGTAGCAATGCTAAGATGAAAGGAACTCTCTTCGGAAATGAAAAAAATCTACTGCCATTAAGCGCATTTCCATTTACAGTGACCCTCAATCAGGTTTTTATAGCTGAAAAACTTTATGTGAAAGGGCAGAAACTGAATGAAGGTAGATTTTAAAAATTATAGTCCCAGACCCTGGCATTAACTCAAACAATAATGTTGCAGAGGTTACATGGGTAAGTCAAGTATATTAGTACAATTCAATCTAACAATCTTCCTAATTCTTTCCTAACTGAAGATTCCAAATAGGAATTTCATTATCTAAAAATATATTCCAAAGAAATTGCTTGAAGAGGCTATTTTTTTTTCATGTCACAAAACAGATGAAAGGGGCTTAAATGTAAATGTGTAATATCAATACAGTACAGTATAGACAGTTTCCTTACAAACTTACAATGCATCTGAGTTCCAATGAGATCCATTTAAAAATCAAGAGGGTGTTTGGGATTGAGAAAGTTAACAGTTTTAGTTTACTTGGCTCCACAGTCAACACTATTGGTAACAGCAGCCAAGAAATCAAGAGAGGAACTGCACTGGGAATGTCAGCTGGGAGGGACCTCTCAAGAGTACTGAGGAGCAACAATGTCAGGCTGGAAACTAACTAAGGTGCACCTGATTCGGGCTATAGTCTTTGCAATTCTGTGCTATGCATCAGAGAGTTGGACAGTGACTAGGGATGACAGAAAGAGAATTGATGCCTTTGAGCTGTGGTGTTGGGAGAAGAGTGTTGAATATATCACGGACTGCTAGAAAAACAAACAGGTTTGTCCTGGAGAAGGTGAAGCCGGAATGCACCTTGGAGTCAAGGATTCTGAGGCTTCGTCTAACATACTTTTGGCATGTTGCAAGGAGGGACTGGTCCTTGGAGTGGAGGGGCAGCGCAGGAGTGGAAGACCTTCGATGAGATGGATCTATTCTGTGACTGGAGTGGTGGGAATGAGTGCATTTGAGATGGCTAGGTTGGCAAAGGATAGAATGGCATTTAGGGCTCTTGTACCTAGGGTCGCTATGAGTCGCAAGCGACTTGATGGCACATAACAACATCATCATTAGTATTACATACAAGCTGTAGTGCATGATATGCTGATGTTGTATCTGTAAGTCTGTATGTAGTATTCCCAACTCACAAAGACAACAATATTTATAAATATGTTGTTGTTA